TGCGGCTCAGCCGGGGGTCGAAGGTTTGGAGGCCTGAGGCTTCCAGGGCTTCAGGTCCCTTTGGGACCTTCCACCGAGGATTTCCGTAGGGTCCCCGAGTTGAGCTGTGAATTTGGAGGGTACGAGACCATCTGCGCGGGCATGGCAGGTCAGCCACCGAGAGAGCTGCTGGAGTGGGAGCCTCACCCCTTCCCAGCGCTCTTTTCCTCCTCAGCCTTTCCCCCCACACTTCGCTCAGGGCTCTGGCAAGTGTGCAGATAAAGCTCACCCTGCAAGTCCCACCGCTGCACAGGAGCGTTAAGGGGTTAGAAGGACTGCTCTCTCCACTCCCAGTGGGGAGGTCTGGGACCCTAAAGGGCTGACCTGTAGTCTCTAGGATGCCTCGGGGCTTCGCACTTGCACTTCTTCCTCTCCGTGTTGGCCTTCACGGGGCTCACGTACGGGCTCTGCCTCTGGTGCACACACTGGGGCTGCTCTCTCAGGTACACTGGATGCACACCCCACATGCCGGGGCCCTAGGCACTCAGGATAAGCCCATACCACATGCAGGAGCCCCACCTCATGTCCACACGCAGGGTCTCCCCTCCCAGCCTGCAAGGCCTTGGCTTCACTATTCAAAGACCTCTGATGCTGGCCGAGCCTTCCATCTCACTCCTGCGGCCTTTCCCACCTGTCTGCAGCAGGCTCTCCCCTTCCATCAGGGGTGCACCTCCTGGGGTCCTGGAGGCCAGGGGCTGGTCCTGCTCAAGAAGGAAGGAAGTGTAACTACACTCCTTCTTGTACCTGGTCCCGCCACCCTCTCGAAGACCGTCACTGAGTGACACAGGTCACTGTCAACGTTGGGGTCCTGAATGGCCACTCAAGGCCTGCAGAATGCCCTGGTGACAGCTTCTGTTTCCTGACCTAGTCTAAAAGTTTCCAGCTGCAGGCCAAGAAGAGGCTGGGGGCCCACTGGACACAGAGGGATACACACCACACCCCAGACACACAGTATAACCTGCGCCCTCACCTCTGTGCTTCCGGCCTCGTGCTCCTTCTTGGACTTCCAGCTGGAGATGGCCCTCTGCCCAGTCCCCTAATCTCCAGTTCTCAAGCCTTCCTGGCTCCCCGCTAGAGCCCTCCATACCCTACGATCTGAGACCCTGGGATTGTAATAGCACTGGGAGAGGCTGCCTCCACAACACCCATGGCAAGAGACGCGGCCAGAGGCCTACAAGGTCACAGGGAGAAAGGCCTTGGAGTAGAGGCTTTGGCTGCCAGCAAAGGGAGAAGGAGGCTTCTGGATGCAGGGTGGTTACAGGCTTGACACCATGGCCAAACCCCGAACAAGAACGACGTAGACATGTTGGATCGGTCAGAGAAGGCCCCAGAGATAGTAGATGGGGGAAAAGACTCGGGCCAAGTCAGGCCTTGGCACCGGGATGCCTGAGCCTACAGGCCCTAGGGTTGAAGGCCTATTTGGGCAACTGGTCCTTCCCTGGTGGGCTGAGGGGTGGCAAGCGGGCAGCACCCGACTGTGCAGCCTGAACTTCTCTGACATGTCCTCTTCTCCCTAGCTGGCCAGGCCCCGCCCCC